AGCTGGCATGGGGGTGTGATAACTAACTCGGCAGACCAGCCTGCCCTCACGCAGCGGATTTTCTCATTAACAGATCCATAAGAGGCTGACAACAGGAATCCACGTTGTGAAGAAACACACAGCGGGGAGAGCTGAGGGGGCTACTTTCCAGACAGGCTCAGAAGCATGGCATTTCAACTACAGCCTTGAAAGCTAGAATGGGCCGGTGGGGGGAACGGCATTCCAGGGAGAGGAGACTGCTGGCCCTGAGGGGTGAGCACGGCGGGGTTGGAGCACAGGCTGGGGAGGCTGCGGGGGACCGCGCCCGGGGGGACGACGGCAAGATGGGGCCAAAAGGAGTTGGCCTCCATAGGTCCTGCCCTAACTTGACTTCTCTCACGGCCCATCTGTCTGCAGGTAGCAGATGCTTTACAGGGTGGCTTAGTTCGTTTTGGCTGCATTAACAGCATGGTACAGCCTGGCTGGCTTATCAACAACAGAAATGTATTTCTCCCCATCTGCAGGCTAGGAATTCCAAGATCCAGTGCCAGCATTTTCTGGAGTGTGGTGAGAGCCCACTTCCTGGGTTGAGAATGATTATCCTTCACCACGAGCTCACATGGTCGAGGGGGCCAGGGAGCCCTCTGGAGGCTCCTGAGGGAGCTAATTCCATGTGTGGGAGCCTAATTACCCCCCAGAGACCCCACCCTCCAATACCGTCACACTGGGGCTTAGATTTCCAGCATGAAATTGGCGGGGACACGAACCTTTGGTCTATGGCCAAGGGCACCTCCTTGTGGAGGGGAGTGAATGCAAACATTCAGAAGAAAGCCCTCTGTCCTCAAGGGGGCTCTGGTTTCAATGGGAAGAACAGGGGTCAGGCAGCCTAATCCATCCAATTTCAGATCCCAGCTTCGCCCCGCCCCCGAGTTGTGGCCCCGGGCAACTTGAAAATGGGAAGAACCATGTTGACCAGCAGATGTGCTGGGCCAATTAGATAGAGAAATAGATGCGGAATGTCTGGTACATGGTAGGCACTCAATAAAAGTCACATTATAACACACACATCTCTCCCCATACGAAGTAGGAAGAAGACAGAGGCACCATTTCCACATACAAAGTAGATGGAGACGAAAGCAGTGCCCAAGGGGCCAGGCCCCGCGGGCCTTGAAGGCCGACCTAGAGCACCTGACCCTCTGTGAGCGGCGGGGGGAGCCAGCGAGGGTTTCTGAGCCAGGGAGGGTCACGGGCGAGCTTCCTTATAGGAGGAAGATCATGCTGGCAGCCAGGAAACGGGAGAAGATGGGAGGAAGAAAATTGCCATCCCCTCCTTGCCGCCCCTGAGACTTGGCTTCCCACACCCCCCTCCCCAGCCCCCGAGTTCTGCCCTGCAGCCTGGGTACCTAGGACTTTGCTTTCAGACGGGGTTTCGTACCGCCTTGATCTGTTTCTCAGGACCACTAAGTAGTTCCAGGTTTGGCCGTGTTCACAATGAGCATCTTGCCAAACCGGCCAATCAGACGGCAAAAGTCTTGGAGGGAGAGAGTCTCTTTCCAAGTCCCCTGCCTTTGTCCTGGAAGGAAGCCTAATTCCTTCTAGAGGCAGTTTGGTGGAGACAGGCAGAAAAGGAGCAGGACTCAGCTTGCAGGGCTTGGCTGTCATTCTGGGAGCCTGGGATTTGGGACAAATGCAGCCCGCCAGCCTGGCAGACACCAGAAATCACAGAAAAGACCAGAACCTAATGCAGGTTGATGGATTCGGTGCCCCTTGAATGTGCGGCCCTCCCCTCCTAACTAAACCTGCCATATGGAATTCTGAGCTTCGTTGACTCCAGCATCGATTTTCTACGGTCGGCAGCTCTCGAGCCTGCGCAGCGCACTTCTGAAACGGGAATTTAGGAGAATAAATCAGCTAAGGCAGCAGATTTACGTCTTTGCCCTGTCCTCCCCACACCCCAGTCAGGGAAAATGCCAGCGTTCCCAGAAGCACGGTGGACACAGCGAAGCTTGGCGTGAGGAGCACCCCCCCCCCCCGCACTGGGGAATAGGGGGGAACAAGCTCAGGCCCAGCCCTGGAGGCTCACTCACCAAGGGTGAGGACTTAGGTCAGAGTTGTGGAGTTGGAGGTGGGTTCATTCATTTCGGAAGCATTTCCCTGGGGCCTCTCTGTGTGGGGCTGTGCCAGCTGCTGGGAGATTTGGGACCCATAAGACCCACGCCAGCTCCTTGGGAGCTCAGAGTCTGGCAGAGGAGTCAGCTCAGTAAAAAGGCAATAATGACGGTGCCAAGGCACCGTGACAAGGCGAGGTGATAGCCAAGGGAGGAAGCAATTATCTCTCTGGGAGTCAGGGCTTCCTGGAGGAAGTGACATCCAAGCCGGGCTTCGAAGGGCGGGTAAAAGAGGTCACCAGCAGGCAAACTGGGGGAAATAAGGAGCTTACACCAAGGCATGGGGATAGGGGAATAAACACAGAAGGCATCTTCTTCTGGAGATCACAAGTCACTTCTGTCATTGGTACAGGAGGGAAATGGAGGCCACTGGTGGGACATGAGACAGCACACACACACACAGTCAGGGGCTGAAGAGGAGGTCCGGACTTGGAACGAGTGGGAGCTCTTCGGGGCAGCACCAGGGTTAAAATTAGGTTTGGGATTTACCTGCAGTTAAAGAGAGCATATAACTGTATCAGATCAGGTAATAGCAGAATCACAAAACTGCCATTTCCCTGAAGCAGACGTAAACCTGCTGCCTTAGCTGATTTACGTGTGCCTTTTGTGAATTATCTCATTTAGACCCCAGAACAAGCCTCAGAGGTCAGAGTTATCCTTATCATATCTTATCTTACAGATGGGGATGTGAAGGTACTGACAGAGAGGACAGCGACGTGGCCTAGGTCCCACGCCTGGAATGCGGTGGTTGCCAGAGCGGGAAGCGGGGGAGGGACGGGGAGTTAGCGTTTAACTGGGACAGAGCGTTTTAGTTTGGGAAGATCAAAACACGCTGAAGATCGATGGCGGGGATGGCTGCACCACAAAGTCAGTGTTCTTAAGGCCGCTCAGCTGTGCCCTGAAAAATGGTCATGAAGGTACATGTTCGGTCACGTACATTTTACTACAATTTAAAAAGAAAGGCAAGGGAAAGGCATGGAAGCACATAGGTATCGTATCTTCAGCCTCAGGCAGGTGGGAGGGGAGGTCTGGCAGCAGGAGAGGTGAACCCACCCTCGGGGGCGGAGGACCAGGCTGCGCTGCCCACGCAGTGAGCTCCTGGTGCGCAGGTTCCACCGCCTTTCTGGAAAAAACGAGGAAGCTGGCTGATTCACAGATTTCCTCCAGCCGTTGCGTTCTGCAGTTCTGCCTTATTAGGAAGGCTGGACTCATGCAGAGGGTGAGGTAAAAGGCACGGAAAAGCCCGGCCTTCATCATACTGGACATTTCTAATCCTTGGACTTACGACGGTGCGTCAGAAGAATGTGCCTGACGGGAATGAAATCCTTGAGGGTCCTGGCAGGGAGCAGATCCTGCCGTCGAACTGGGTCATCAAGGAAAGTTTACCCAGAGTCTGTTTACAAAGGTGTACGCAGAGCGTGGGGAGCCCATAGGAGATGGCGGTGTGGGCGAGGGAACCCTGAAGGAGCCCTCATGGGGAAGGTGCCTTTGGTAAGGACACCCCGGCAGGAAGGAGCTCGAGAAGTAAATTCCCAGACCTCTCTCCTCCCACCCTCGGTCTCTTGCCCGGGCCTCCCCCTGGCCAAACCAACCCAACAGGAATCCAGAGGACAGACTTGGGACTAGAACAGGGTGGCAAGACCTGGCAAAGGAGTCAGAGGGGCAAATGGAAGGGCCGATCCGAAGCGTGTCAGCACCAGAACACCCAGCGGCCTGGCCAGGGCTCCTCTTCTGGGTGACCCACCGAAGGCTGACCAGAGACCCGGAATTAGAGGCAGCTCTGGGCTCTTTCCGGCCTGGAGTGGAGCTACGTGGTGTGTTGGAAAGAGCCCTGCTTACTAGTTTGGGAGAGCATTGGCCAGGGGCCCAAACCCCCTGCCTGTGCGGTGATGCGGGCATTCATTCAGTCCTTCATTCAGTTCACCTTCCCTGCAGAGGACGCAGGGCCCAGCCCGGACTGGGAGGCCCCAGGTGAAGTGAGGGGCGGCCCGCCGCCCTCAGCAGCCACCTGTGAAAGGTGCCTCCACCAGCTGTGGGGGTCTCAAGCTGCTCTCAGTCGCCTCCTCTGTGACATGGGTTGGCCCACCATGGTTTCCTCCCAGAGTCCCCCTGAGAACTCAGAGAATGTTTTTTGCAAACAGGGAGGCACCGCACCTTTGGGAGCTAATGGCCTGGTTGACGAGCACCCACCGGACCCTCCCTCACCACCCTATTACCCTGTTCCAGGGAATTGTTGCAATGTATTATATGGTGCTTGCCCTTGTGGCGGGTTTTCTCTGGCTTCCTCCCTGTCTCTCGGACTGTAAGCCCAGGTGAGGCCGCAGGTCCCCTGCCCTTCCCTGAACCCCTAGGGCCTGGGGCTGGGTTTATAACTGGCAGCATTTGCACATTGCCAGCGGCTTCATGGGCACTTCATTGTGAGGACAGCCCTGGTTGGTACGCAGTACAACTCGGCCCATTTTATAGACAAGCGCTGAACCCAGAGAGGCTAAGCCACTCGCCCAAGGTCACAGAGCCGGGATTTGAACCCGGGAGTACCGCCCTCAAATACGGCGCTGGCTGGACCGCGTCTCCGCCCGCGAGCTGGGCGCCGGGATCCACCGAGGAGTCAAGCGGAGCTCGGACAGCGGATGCGGATGCGCGCCCGCCCCCTCCCCTGTCGCGGCGGCTGGGCGCGGGGACAAAGGCCCGGCGGAGGCCGGACGTGGGCCAGCCGGCCGCGGCGGGGCGGGGGTGCGGGCCGGGCCCTTTAAGCCGGGCTGGCCGCGACGCGGGGGGCGGGCCGGGGGCGGGCCGGGGGGCGGAGGCGCGGCGGGCCGGGCCGGAGGGCGCGCGGAGCGGAGGGCGGCGGCGGCAGCGGCGTCTCGTGCTCGGCCCGGGCCCTGATCGCGCTCGGCCCCCGGCTCCTGACCCGCGCCCCCCGCACCCGCGCTCGGCCCCGCGGAGCAGCGGCCATGCCGCCGCGGCGCAGCATAGTGGAGGTGAAGGTGCTGGACGTGCAGAAGCGGCGGGTGCCCAACAAGCATTATGTGAGTGTCGCCGCGCGGCCCCACGCCCCCTCCAGCCCCTGCCCGCCGGCGGCGACCGGGAGCCCCCGGGCTCCGAGAACTTCTGCCTCCGGCTCTGGCCCCCCAAACCCCTCCTCGGCACCCCACCCCCTCCCGGCCGCCGCGCCGCCCGGGTCTCTCCCGGCCCCTCCCCCCCTTTGCCCCGCAGTCGTCCGGTTCCCATCCTCCCTCCCGCTCCCAACTCGCCTCTGTGCCGCTTCTCTTACCCTTTCCACCACCCCTGCCCCCCCCCCCCACTCTTGTCCTACCCATCCTCGGAAAAGTCTGGCCCCAGCCAATGTAGGGGACGGAGAGACAGACAGAAAGGGGCGCCTGGTCTCAGGCACCCCCCCTCAAGGTCCCCCCCCCCGTGCACAGGCACTCGGACCTCAGTGAACAGCCACAGGTAGCCAGCCCTTCCGGGGACCGCCAAGCTCAGCCCCGGCCTCCGAGAGGAGCTGGCCTGAGCGAGGGAGGAGGTCTCTGAGAACGGATCCTTTGAGTGTCTGCATCTTCAAAAGGCTTAAAAAAAAAAAAGTCCCTACCCTCTCTCTCCACTGATTTCTGTTTTACAATGGGCGAAAGTTTTCTCCTGGTGTCTCTCCGGAATGGCAATCTTGTGTAGTGCTGGTGAGGACCCGAGGACACGGGCCAGTAGCTGCGCTTTGCAGATGGGAAGGCTGAGGTTCTGGAAGGTGGGGCTGAGGCCAGGTCTTCCCTGCCTCCGGAAGGTGTGACTGGGGCAGACAGTGTCCTGCAGGTGGGAAATGGCTTCCTCAGCAGCCTCGGGGCTGAATCCGGGGGCTTCGAGGGGCCCTAGGACCATCTCAGAGGTTTGGGGCGGAGGGATAATGGGGCTGTGGGATGTGGAGCCCGAGGGAGGCCTTGGGGAGGCGTCCCTGCTGGAGGGAGAGGGGCTGTGTTTCTGGTAGTGAGCAGGGAGTGGTGGCAGCGCCTCGCTGCAGGGAAGTTCACCAGGAAGGAAAAAAGAGCATGAGGGAGGGAAAAAAAAAAAACCCAACAAAGAAGAGTAGAACAATGAATAGCAAAGGGCGTTGGCTGGCTAAATTCAGCTCCTTGGCCTCCCCACACGTCGTCTTTGGGTCTATTTTCTTAAGAGCCTCCTTCTTGTAAAGCAGATCGACATGCCCTCCCTGAGTAGCTGTAAAATTCTGAGAGAACTGGAATCCACTCCGCACTCTACGGGGAAGGGTGTGCTGTGTGTGTCTGTATTGTTATTGGCTGGGCAGCTAGTTCTCCAGCCCTTAGCCAGGCGGTGGGAAGCTATTTCCTGGACCTGTGGCATCTTTAAATAGAGTGAAGTTTCCCTTGATTCCAAAACTAGGTTAAATTGTCTTTTTTTTTTCCCCTCCTTCTGCTTCTCTCTCTTTCTTTCTTGTGAACTGTTTCAAACGCTGCCAAGTGTTGGTTTCTTGTTTGAGCCTGTTGAGTGTGTAACTGAGCTGCCTCTTTGGTATGAGACAGTTTCACCGACATGGCCACGGGCGGGTGTCTGAGATGCCCCCCGCCGCCTCCTGCCTGCTCTCTGAGCCGGCAAAACCAGCGCAGAGAACTAGCCACCGAGAACTGGCACCGTCCTCCACTCGCCGTCTCCTGCCCTCTCCCATCCCACACAGAACAGGCAGAGGTTCTTGAGCCCATTTGACAGATGAGAAACTGAGGCTCAGAAAGGTGAGGTCCCACGCCCGAGGTCACAGTCAGGGACAGAGCAGGTCGGTCGATCCAAGTCCGTTGGACCCCCAGAAGTAGCGTTCTCAGACCACACCACCTCCCAGATGCCGTACCCTCAGAGTTTCCCCAAGCGGCCGCCTAAGAAACAGCAAAGTCTGACACCCCATGTGACCACCTGAGGCTTTTGTTCTCTGCTTGGTCAGACCCCTTTCTGCCGGTTTTTGAAGGTGCGGCAGTGTTGAGAGGCCTCTTTCTAAGCTTCCAACCACTTTTTAGGAGGCTCTTGAGGCAGATCTTTAAATGTTCAGGTGAGGCCAGTCTTGGCCTCACAACTTGCTCTGTGGCCTCTCAGAGCCTCGGTGTCCTCGTCCCGTTGGCTAGGAGTGGTGGTGCCCACTCGCTAGGGGGAGGGGCCATGTGTCTGGCAGGGTGGGCTTTCCACAGCTGTTCAGTGCCTGCCTCCCTGCCCCGTGGTGTCCATGTCACTCTGGTTGGGAACACGCTGAAGTCACATGGGGCGGGGTTTCGCCAAGAACTTGTTTTCCTGCGTGTGGGTTTAGTCATTCTTGTGATTCAAGGTAGCCTTTCTCCCTCCCATCCAGCCTCTTTGGTTCATCGGAGGAAGAGGGGCACGGGTTCAACCGAAGCCTGAGTCATCCACGGCAGCGGAGCAGATTTAATGCTGCGAGGGCAGGGGACCGGGACCCACCCGAGACTGTTAGCAGTCCCCACTCCTGTTCTGAAGCCGAACCCGCCCCACCACTCTGGGAGGAGTGGGCGAGAGGCAGCCCTCGGCGTGGGTCTGGGCCTCCATCCTGCTTGGTGCCCTCCTTTCGGAACCTGGCCCAGCCACCCCGGAGAGAGTGTGAGCAGATGCAAAGCCCCTGTGCACCCTCCCCAACACTCCGCCCCCCAAAAGCCCCAATGTCCTGACTTTGCTGTTGGTCGTTCCCACACACTTTTTAAAAACAGACGTTTAGATAGGGTTTTTTTTCCTTTAACAGCTTTATACAGGTATCATTTCCATATTGTAAAATTCGTCCATTACAAGTGTACACTTTGCTGATTTTTTTAGTACATGTACAGGGCTGTGCAATCATCACCCCAGTCCAGTTTTATCAGTTTCTGTCGCCCCAAAAACGATCCCTCGCACCTGTTTGCGACCGATCCCCTCCCTCGCCCACCCCCATGCACCTTTGAATGGTTTTACCTTGTTAACATTCCCTCAAATCTTGAAGGGAATGGTTTAAAATTATATAAAAACGTTACGCTTTGGAGATCTCGGTCGCCCCTTTGGCTCCGGTGCCTTTTCACAGCTGGCGAATATTCCACGTGTGAAATCCACTGGTGTTTATCTGGGCTCCTGTGGGAGAGCTCAGTCGTCCACGGTCACGGAGCTGCTTCCCTGCACGTTGTTTGCCTGGCGTGGGGTTGCTGGGTCCTGGGTTCGCATCCTCACCTTCGCTGTTTTTGCTCACATTCTGAATTTTGGCCAGCCTGCGGGGGTGCAGAATACTATCTCACGGTGGTGTTTGCTTTATGGGCCATTTGAGTCTCCTCTTGATTGAATTGCCTGTTTGGTCTTTTGTTCCCTTTTTGGGTCTATGGGGTTATTTGTCTTCCATCAATTTGTACAGTGTGTTTATACAGTCAGGGCTTTGATCCTTGGGGGCATTGCATTAGTATTCCATTTTCCCCTTGCGACTGGAGGCTCAGAGAGGTGGAGCCGCTGCCCGAGGTCACCCAGCAAGGAATAGCGGCGGGGGGACTGAGCTAGGTGCCTCTAGGTCTGGGAGAGGCGGCAGCCCTGGGACCCCACCCCTGAGCCAGGTGACCTTCAGAAGCCACCTAAGCTTCTAGGCCCCCAGTTTGTCCATCCTGGCCCTCCCCTCGTTCCCCTGTGCCCAGGGTCTGGATACGTGAACTGTAAGTAGCTGCCATGCCTTCATCGTTCTCTGGGTCGGTTGTGTCCCTGGAATGGTGGTTTGGCAGCGCCTGTGTTGCCCACCCTGAAACCTCTCTTCTCTCCCCGCCAGGCTCTGAGAGCCCAGGGGTCGCCGTGGTGAGCAGCTGAGGTCTGCAGGGTAGGGCGTGCCTTGTTAGGTGTCGCTGGTATTCTCTGCTGGCCTGCGGGAGGCCCCTGGCCGACGAGCTCAGTGATCTGGGGCAGGCTGTGGATCCGCCACCTACATGAACTGCATTCTGTTTTCCAGCCACGAGTCTCCTCACCCCAACCGTCCCCGGCACCCCACTTTGCAGAAACACGCAGGGCCGCAAACATGAGTGGAGAGAACTCGGGCGTTAGAGACAACACATCCGGGCACTCGGCCCTCAGACTTGGTTGCTGTGCCTGTTGCTTGAGTGCAGGGCCTTCCTTCCAGGACCGCTGTGCGCGTCTGTGACAACACGTGTCCCCAGTCTGTGCTGCCCCCTCCGGCTCGGGGGTGGATGCCAGCCACGTGCACAGTTCGTAGGGCCCACCGTGACCTTCAGGATGAACACACCTGGCTGGGAGTCCTCTCCAGCTCTCCTGATCTGGGTGACCTTGCTGTCTGGGGTCTGGGAAAGGGGGGTGGTCGTCGTGGTTGCCCACAGTCCAGGGCAGCTGTGAGGACGAGCTGTTGTCACTCAGCACTGAGCGAGATGCCTCCTGTGTGAGAGGCACTCGGGGGAGGTCGTCCTGACGAGGACCCGTGATGGTGACAGTGGCCCCGATCCCAGTCCCTCTGTCCCTTCCCTGCCAGCTGCCCTGGGGCCGTGCTGCGAGTTTCCCTCAGCCTTTCACTTGAGGAGCATTTATGGAGTGCCCGCTTGAAGCTGGACCCCCCGGTGCTGCTGGGGCAGACCCCCAGCAAGGCAGAGCCTGTCTACCTGCGCTGCGGGTGTGTTCTTGTCCTGGGCCCTGTCTGTGTCCCAGAGAGGTGCTGCCCTCAGTGGGCCTGAAGGCCCCGTGGGTAGGTTTATTCAAAACTGGTGATTGCTTTTTGTGATTGAAAAGCAGGGGCGCACCATCCTGACTCCTTCCCTGGCCTGGGGGTGCCAGGGGCCAGGCCCACCCTGACCTCCCCTGAGGGACCGTCCTCCGTGGCTGTCCTGGTCTGCTTCTCTTGCACTCAGAGCTTCTGCAGCTGTCTCAAGATCAAATGGGGTGGCCCCTTCACGTCGTCAGTTTACTTACATGTATGTCACTTGGCTTCAAGCTTTGAATCTGTGCCCGTCTGTGCTGCCGGTAAGCAGAGAACGAACGCCAGACAGCCTGGTTTCAAATCCCTGCTCCGCTGTCTCCCAAC